ACCCGTTACGTTACGTACTACTCTACGAAAGGTAAGGTAGAGTACTACGATACTTAGTATAGTTAGTTAGTACCTACTTATCACAACACCAACCAAAACTAAATAATACCTCCTCTCTCTCTCTCTCTCTCTCTCTATGAAAAATTATAATCCTCTCTCTGTCTCACACACGCTTGATTTCTTTTCTAAGCTTTAAAAATTAAAACCATCATGCTGCCATTACTAACCCCATAAATCCATATCATTAGCAAAAGTAGGCTAAAACAAAGTAGTTAATAAAACCAGCGATACAAAATCGATTAGGGGGAATCCGTATATTCCCATCATTTTTCATATTTGGCCACCGCCTTTTTGGTTTAAGAGCTCTTCCCTCAATTGTGCGACATCAGTCTCTCCAAAATGGTCCTCAGGAAGATAATATCCGGTGACTGGGTCAGGCATCCATGACGATTTTGATCCCTTGTTACTGCTGTTTTTATTATTATTCACTCTGTTAAGGTGATCCGGCCGGTTCTCTCTCATCATATTCGAGACCGCGCTTGCCGCTGCCGCAAATCCTCGCCTGAAAAATACAGAGAAGTGATAAATTAGTTATTTGAATTGTTAAACATTACAAACCATTAATCTTGAGCCAAAAAAAAAATGAAAGAGTTTGAGCGCCAAATACCAAAGAAAAAACAATTAAATTAAAAAAAGAAAAATAAAAAGAGTACATTTTTCGTTTTTATAAATACCCAAGTTCGAAAAACTCAGTGATCACACAATAAAAGCAAGGAATAAACAGGGGAATCAGAGAAGGGTAAGTTCTCTACCTGTTGAGAGAGGCGAAGGCTTGTGTGAGGGCAGGCTTGAGATTTGTTGAGAGATGGAGAGCCATTGCGATCAAGTGTTCGGAATTCGCACGTGTTGCAGAAGCTTGTTGATACTTTGCTGCAATACGCAGGAGCTCCCTTTGAACGCTGGATGAATGTTACCAAGGAAAAGCCCTGCTTTTATAGTGAGAGGATGCCGTAAATGCTCTTCGTTACTGCCCTAAATATCAATATTACCCTTCACTTTATTTGTCCCCAAGTGCATCTTTTTTTAACGTTTAATTTGAGGAGAAGAACCTTGCCTGGTCTTGGTAGGACAATTTGCATACTGCACCTAACATGAATTCGTATATTCAATATTTTAAATCATTGTATTGGACTGATAAGGATCTCTTGGTGCATAGGAGCCATTGATTTTTGCCAACCTTTATTAATTTTTCAGGCAATCTTCCTTTTATAGATAGGCCGGTAATTGGTCGGTCAACCCGGTCCGGCCCTTTGCTCGGCCATAAAACAAGTAGAGCCCATGGCACGAGGGCGGGCTGGGCTACTACTAGTCACGGCTCATTTTGCTCTGCCTTACCTTTTTTTTCTTGTTTTTTTGTATTTTATCTGCTTTTGGCCTAGTCCGAATCGGTCCTATAAATAGAGTCAGACCTGGGCCAAGCTTATGGGTACAACAGCCGCACCAGGACTAAGCCCAGCCTGATGCCAACCTTTAAGAATTTTGGTCTCAATAACTTAGAAGAGAGTGACCTTTGTAGCCTCGCAAAGGTCGAAACTTAATCTCTAAAATGCTAGGGAACATTGTAAAAGCCACTTGTCGCTTTATGAGGCTTTTGGATAATATTCTTTTTTAGAGTACCACCAATACATATTAAAATGTACTAAAAGCTCATTGAACTGCAACAATTTGCGAAGCCTAACGGACAAATATGTAAGGTGTGGATGAGGACCACAGTTGGTGCAACTTTCTTTATCAATTTTTTTTTAACTCGATGTAGAATTGTATCCCTTCACAAGGTAGAGGGGTGGAGAAGCACCCTTTTAATTGTTGAGATTTCATATGATCATATCCAACTGTGAAAAATTATTCTTATATTTTACCGTTTGTTTTTATCTAAATAATATATTCATCTGAATTTTGAGGTGTAGGTGCATTTTTATAAATATAACTACATAAAAATAATTAAAGATATTTTAAATAAAAATACCGCTAAATTTATTTTGAACAATATTTCTTACTCAATATATATTTTATTTACTTTTATTCCATTCTACTTATAAAAATGAAACTATAACCCAAAATTTATAGTAAAATTATTTTGAAGTAAAAAAATTAAATATAAGAAGCAAAATTCAGGGCTTTGAATGAGGTTGGTTCAATCTAAAGTTCTAAACCCTTAAAAGGTCATTGTGCACCTTTCCCTTTCGCTATATATTTGAACCCAATAATTGCACCAATTGAGATTCTGGTCTCTAGGCTCTTAGTTACCAAGAAAAATAAGTAAATGAGAAGAGATTATGATTGGGAGGGGTATCGTTGAATTTTTAGCGATTATTAGGTATCATATATATTTGATTTCCTAGAGAGGAAAGATATTATGAGATTTTCGTGGTCGGGCAAAGGAAGTGGGATCCTTCTCTAGACCAGCCATGCAGCTTTCCAAGCAAATGCATTGAAAGCGTCAATATAGGCGTCTAGGAATATATTATCGTACAAATAATAAAAACTCAAAATGGTTTCCTGTTCCCGCGGAAACATATTGTTCAAAGTTTAAAAAACAGCGAACCTAGTGGTTTGAATCGCCATTCGTTGGGGCTGGTCTAGTTCTAACTAAATATTGGTAACCGGCCATTCCCACCAGCCTATTTTAGTGAATTTTCTAACAAAACCGGTTAGTTCTATCAAAAGTCTGAGCCCCACCATGGTTTTAAAAATCGGCAAATCGAATCGAAACCAATCAATTTGGATAGGGAACCGTCAAGCCTGGTTCAAATGACTAAATATCAAGAACCACTTGGTTATATCATAGAATAATAGGTCAATCCGGGTACAAACCTTGTTTCTAAAATTTGAGTCCCATATTTTTTAAAAATTTTTTATTAATTTTTGTTAAAATTTTAATACGTTAGTTCACTAAGTCAGATCACCGATCCGAACCGCCAATCCGCTTAGCCCAAAAACTATTTTCCACAAGGGCGATACGGGTCACCTAAGTGTGTCTTTAAAGTTTAAACCTTGATATTGTCCATTTGCTTCTTTGGCATAAAGCGCGTAGAACTCAAATTTCGACGTTGTCAAAGCTTGGGCTAGGTCCCAAATTTTGAGATGACAAAATTTCTAGCTCTTTTGCCTAATACACGATGTGATCGTGCGGGAACAAGCTAATGTTAAATGGACAAAACGAAATGGGCTCCCAAACTCAAAAAGACCAAGAAAAAGGAACTATAAAAATATTTGAAATATCTAGAAAACGCAAATACGCGCCATCATGGAAGCTCAAGCGGTTGAGGAGACGCGTTAGTGAACGGGTGGAGAAAGTGGCGGCCGGACAGCAGACGCTACTGCGAAACCTCGGCCTTTAGGTTCATGCGTGATGCGTGTGACCAAGTAAGGCGCAAACCTCCAAGTTTTATTACAGGAAAATTATCATAAATATAACTATATTGTCGTAAAATTAAAAAAAAATTTAAACTTTCAAAAACCTCTTTTACACTTTTTTTTTTTTTTCAAGTAATATTACTTATTTTAAGTACAATAAAACTCTAGCAATCCATAAAGCCATTTACAGTATTTAAACTGTAAAAACTAAAACCCATTATACAACATTTTAAGTACCATAAAAACTAACCCATATTTTACAGAACTTAAAATGCAGTAAACCATTTTCTCTTTCTTTTATATTTATCTCTTTCATATCTAATTTTATCTTTTCTTTCTCTCTAATTTTTTTTAATAGTTATTTTTTTATCTCTTATTTTTCTCTTTAATTCTTTTTAATATTTATCGCTTATTTATCTCTTTAATTCTTTTTAATATTTATCTCTTATTTCTCTCTCTAATTCTTTTTAATATTTATCTATTCTTTCCCTCTACAATCTCATCATCATTTCTTTATTTAATATTTATCATCATCGTTTCCTTAGATAATATTTATCTCTTTCATATCTAATTCTTTTTATGTTTATCTATTCTTTCTCTCTCTAATTCTTTTTAATATTTATCTCTTCTTCTCTCTTTATAATCTTATCTTTTTTATCTCTTGTTTCTCTCTCTACAATCTCTATTTATCGTCATCGTTTTTTTAAATAATATTTATCTCTTTCATCTCTAATTTTTTTATATTTATCTATTCTTTCTCTTTCTAATTTTTTTTAATATTTATCTCTTCTTTCTCTCTCTACAATCTCATCTTTTTTTATCTCTTCTTTCTTTCTCTATAATATCATGATCCTTTCTGTAGATAGATCATGTCCTCTGTTTTGCATGGCCAGGTCGTCAGTATTTGATTTACTCAGAGGAGCCAATTTGGACAAGGTGAAATATCCCAAGGAGAGATAAGATTTAGAGAGAGAGAAAGAAGAGATAAAAAAGAATTAGAGATAGAAAGAAGAGACAAATATTAAAAACAATTAGAGAGAGAAAGAAAATATAAAAATAGAGATGAAAGAGATAAATATAAACAGAAGGAAAAAATGGTTTACGGCATTTTAAATGCTGTATAATATGTGTTAGTTTTTATGGTACTTAAAAGGTTTTAGTTTAGTTTTACGGTTACTTAAATAGAAAGACTACCGTGAAGGGTATTTTCGTCCAAAAACCCAAAAATAGTGAGAAATGGTGTAGACAGCGTTTTTGAAAGTTTTGTTTTGTTTTTTTTTTTCAAATTTTGCAAAAATATAGGTATATTTTCGATAAATTCTCTTTATTATAACATGTAATTTTGGTGAATTTTATTTTTTAGGATTATCTCCAAATCTAGGGAAAATTATATACATATCTGTTATAGTTTTCGTTATTACGGCTCTACCGAATAGTTTCGGTTGTTACCATCGTATCCGTTTTTTTCATGTCAAAACAAATTTTTTTTAGAAAGACGATTTTACTCTTTTTCAGTTATTGAACAAGCGAATTAAGTATTTTCGGTTGTTCAACAATTGAAAATACACCAATTTCGGTTCTTTCAAAAAATTTAAATTTTCAGTTCTTCAATAAAGAAAAAATGTTTTCTCTCTCTTGTGGCGTGGGAGAAATCTTAGGATTATAAGATTCGAAGATTAGGAGAAATCTTGTGGCATATTCTCTCTCTATCTCTTTGAAGCCATAGTTATCCAATAAAATCAGGGTAACAGTCTTCAAAGAGGTAGAGAGAGAATATGCCACAAGATTTCTCCTAATCTTCTAATCTCATAATCCTAAGATTTCTCCTAAATTTAGTGCTTAAACAAGTTGTTCCCTTTTGATTTTATCGGATAATTATGACTTCAAAGACGTAGAGAAAATATGCCACAAGAGTGGTTCTTCAATAACCGACATTGATGGAACAACCGAAAATATTTTGATTTCGGTTGTTCAACAACCGAAAAAAGTTAAAGTCGTCTTTTTTTTAAAATTTTTGTTTTGACATAAAAAAACAAACACAATGGTAATAACATAAGCTATTTGGTAGAGCCGTAATAACAGAAACTATAACGGATATGTATGTAATTTTTCTCAAAATCTATTTTTATATCTAATTACAAAATTTTAAACTAAAAAATAGTTAAAATCAAGTAGATCTATAAATATATGAAAATTTTGAAAATAGACGGTCTAGATAATGTATTGTAAGATGCAATATTTTTTGAACTCAAAATCTATTTTTTTTTCATACTCACACATCTAATTGTTAAAATGATCAATTAGAGGTCTTTTCAACATTAAAACAATTTTTTCCAATGGATTTTTGAGGTGCATGTGTAATTCTACAT